TTGTATTCCCAGAAAGAACTTTAATTCTCCCATCATGCTCATCTCAAATTCAGCCTGCATGGTCTCAGCAAATTCTTTTCCAAGAGAGATATTAGAGGTTCCAAAGATAATATCATCAACATAAATTTGACAGATTATAATATCATTTTTAAATGTTTTTCTGAATAAAGTTGTGTCCACTTTCCCTCTTGTAAAATCCTTTTCTAAAAGAAAATTACTCAAACATTCATACCAAGCTCTGGGAGCTTGTTTCAGACCGTATAAAGACTTTTTTAGTTTAAAAACATGTTCTAGATGTTTTGAGTCATTAAAGCCCGGAGGTTGATGGACATAAACTTCTTCTTCTATATAGCCATTTAAAAATGCACTTTTAACATCCATTTGATATAATGAAATGTTATTTTGAACAGCAAAAGAAATTAATAATCTAATAGATTCTAACCTAGCGACTGGGGAAAAGGTTTAATTATAATCAATTCCTTCTTATTGACTATAACCTTGTGCAACCAGTCGTGCTTTGTTTATGACCACCTCTCCTTGCTCATTTAGTTTGTTTCTGAAAACCCATTTAGTTCCTATAATGTTGAATCCTTTAGGTCTTGGAACTAGATCCCACACATCGTTTCTGGAAAATTGATTGAGTTCATCTTGCATCGCTAGGATCCAATCATTTTCTTCCAGAGCTTCATCAATAGAGGTTGGCTCAATCAGAGATACCAATCCAAACAATGATTCTTCATTGATTCTGAGAGAGGATCTTATTCTGATGGGATCTTCTTTCCTTCCAATAATCACGTCTTCTTTATGAACTAAAGAGATTCTGGAAAGCCTTTTCTGAGAGGGTTGTTCAGAGATTCTGAGATTATCCAGAGCATTATCAAGAGGAGGATCTTCTGAGTCGTCCTTTGCTTCTGACTTTTTAGAGTTTGAGAGATGATCTTTTGTACCTACAAAAATATCAATTTGCTTTGGCTGTTGCTGGCCAAGCTTGTCATCAAACCTGACTTTGATTGATTCTTCAACAATCAGAGTTTCTGTATTGTATACTCTATAGCCTTTTGAGCGTTCAGAATATCCAAGCAAAAAACACTTTTGAGCCTTAGAATCAAACTTGTTCAGATTTTCTTTAGTATTCAGAATAAAACAAGTACATCCAAAAGGATGGAAATATGAAATGTTGGGTTTTCTATTTTTCCACAATTCATAGGGAGTCTTTTCAAGAATAGATCTTATAGAGATTCTATTCTGAATATAACAAGATGTGTTCACTACTTCTGCCCAGAAGTGCTTAGCCATATTTGTTTCATTGATCATGGTTCTGGCCATTTCTTGTAAAGTTCTATTCTTTCGTTCTACAACTCCATTTTGTTGGGGAGTTCTAGGACAAGAGAAATTATGAACAATACCATTTTCTTTAAAATATTTTTCAAAATAATGGTTTTCAAATTCTCCTCCATGATCACTTCTAACTTTTATAATTCTAAAATCTTTTTCATTTTGCACTTGGTTACAGAAGTCAACGAACACAGAATGTGACTCATCCTTGTGTTTTAAAAACTTAACCCATGTCCATCTGCTGTAGTCATCAACAATGACCAATCCATACTTCTTGCCTCTGATGGATACAGTTTTAACTGGCCCAAACAGATCAATGTGAAGTAGTTCTAATGGCCTAGAGGAAGAAACAACATTTTTTGATTTAAAAGAAGGCTTTGAAATTTTTCCTTTTTGACATGCTTCGCACAGAGCTTTTGATTTGTACTTCAGATTGGGAAGTCCTTTGACTAAATTCAGTTTATTTATTTGAGAGATTTTTCTCATGCTGACATGTCTCAATCTTCTGTGCCATACCCATTGCTCATCGCTAACGGACAAAAGGCTTTTTACATTCTGAGTTTTAAGATCTGACAAATCAATTTTGTAGATGTTGTTATTTCTCTTGCCAGAAAAGAGGATTGTTCCATCTTTTGACTAACAGCTCTACAAGAATTTTGATTAAAGATAATGTTATAACCATTGTCACTTAATTGACTTATGGATAACAGGTTATGCACTAATCCTTCTACTAACAGAATATTAGAGATAGAAGGAAGATTACTGTTTCCAATGGTTCCAAAACCAATCATCTTTCCTTTCTGATTACCTCCAAACTTGACGTCTCCTCCAGATTTAAATTCCAGGTTTTGGAACATAGACTTTCTTCCCGTCATGTGTCGTGAGCATCCAGAGTCCAGGTACCATGACTGGTGTCTCAATTGAGATGTTAAGGACATATGCAACAAATATTATTTTCTCCTTAGGTACCCATATCTTTTTGGGTCCTCTTTGGTTAGAGTTTCTAAAGTTCTGTTTGAACTTTGGATTAGCATAAGAATTTCCATAGTGAGATGTATATTTAATATCATGTGTGTACCCAAAACTAAATTATTTATTCAGAGGTTTATATGTGAAAGTCATCTTAGAAACAGGTTTTGGTATATATGTTTCCTTCCCTTTGGGAGTTTCATATCCAATTCCTCTTCTGTTGTTCCCACTAACTCCATAGATCATTGAAGCCATCGTGCTTATATCTATGCTTTTAGCAAGAAAAGTTTGAAAGCTAGAGTCATATTCTTTAAGAATATCTTTTGAACTTGACACAAAATCTGAAATAGAAATTTTTTGAACTTTTTGAATTTCCTCTTTAAGTTTAAAATTATTTTCTTTGAGTTCAGAGTTTTCTGTTTCATGTTTCTCAAGATCAGATGCAAGACTCTTCTTGAGTTTCTTGTATTTGATTTTGAGTTGACTATAGTTTTTCAGAAGTTCTGATAAACTTTCAGCAAGTTCAGCTCTAGTAAATTCAGAGAATACCTCTTTTAGTTCTGACTCACAGTCTGAGTCATCTGCTGTGGTAGCCATAAGATCTAGGTTGGCGTTCTCATCTTCAGAATCAGATTCATCTTCAGAGGATTCTGAATCGTCCCAAGTGGCCATCATGCCTTTCTTTCTACCAAACTTTTTTTTGGTCTTTCTCTTTGTAGTTTTGGACAATCACTCTTGTAGTGTCCAGGTTCTTTACATTCATAACAGATTATCTCTCTTCTGTTTGACTTCTTATATCCAGAAGATTCTGGTTTATTTTCTGACTTCTTGAAGTTCCTGAACTTCTTCTGTCTGTGCTTCCACATCTGGTTGATCCCTCTAGAGAGCAAGGATAGTTCATCTTCTTCTGATGCAGATTCTTCAGAGTTTCCTTCTTCTGCCTGAAAAGCGTTATTTTCATATTTTTTAATAGATTTATGGACAACAGACTTACCTTTCTTATGAGGCTCGTGTTCATCAAGTTCTATCTCATGACTTCTTAAAGCGCTGATGAGTTCTTCAAGAGACACATTGTTCAAATCTTTTGATACTTTGAAAGCAGTGACTATAGGTTCCCATCTTCTGGGTAGACTTCTGATAATCTTCTTGACATGGTCTGCCTTGGTGTATCCTTTGTTCAGAACTCTCAGGCCAGCGATCAGAGTTTGAATCCTTGAGAGCATAGCTTCTATAGATTCACTTTCTTCCATTTTGAAGGCTTTATACTTCTGGATGAGAGCCAGAGCTTTAGTCTCTTTAACTTGAGCATTTCCTTCATGAGTCATTTTGAGAGACTCAAACATGTCATGTGTTGTATCTCTATTTGTGATCTTCTCATATTCCATTTTAGAGATAGCGTTTTGAAAAATATTTCTAGCTCTGTGGTGATTTTTGAAATCAGCTTGTTGTTGTCTATCCATATTTTTTCTATCAATTTTGTTTCCTTCTGAGTCTATAGGATGTGTGTAACCATCTAAGACCATATCCCATAAATCACTATCATGACCTAGAAAGAAACTTTCTAGTCTCTCTTTCCAATATTCAAAATCTTCTCCATCAAACACATGAGGTTTGGTGTAGTTATTGTTGTTTTGTTCAGTTGCCATTGTGTTTTCCTTCTGGATCTTTTTCTGACACGGTTAAGTGTTTGCGCTCAGAGTCAAGCT